TGGTGTTCATTCTTTCCTCCAGCCACCTGCGGCCACCGCTGCGACCGAAAGAACAGGCAGCACCTTTTCCCAACAAAAGATGACCTTACGAAGGACTACCTCAAACACACATCAACACACTTCCTGATCATGAGAATGTTGTGTTCAAGCTATTTTGTCGACGGGTTTTACTCATTTCTCATTGCGTTTCAAATGCCACAGCAGCTTGCAGTAGGCATACATCTACTCCCAGGACGACTTGCTATAAACCAGAAACTCTAGACACCCCAACAGGAAATTGACGGCAAAGCTCTTATCTCACTGTACCCTATACCATACTAATATCTGCTATCAGTAGTTTCAGGCCATCCAATAACCCAAGTCCCGGTATCTTGAACTCGAGTCCAACAAAGATCTGGCCGCTAGCCAATAACGATTTTCAAACCCAAAACTTCGACGATAGCTTTGCCCGATCGAAGCCTCTAACAGGACCCAACTGATATATTTTATCTGCGTCTTACAAAACTTCCAGATCCCTACCGATGTTTACATTCCCGTACTCATCTTACCAACATCAACTCTCCTTTCAACCCCACTCGAAGGAGATTTACTCATAGCGGTGAACAGAGGCATGGTAATGGAAACCACATAAAAGCTACATGTCAACGAGTTGGAATTTGAATGAAAGATAGTCCAGTATCACAGAAAAGAATAGCCGATTCTTCCCAACAGTTGTTGCCATTCCTCACAGTGAAAGGGAACAGTACTACAAATAGGGAAGTTTTCGAAAGAAAGCTCCCCCCATAACATAGAGACAATTATTAACTTCTTCCATCGAGTTACTAGACATCTCCACATAAGACGCTCCTCTATGAGCACGCCTAAACTCATCTCTTTGCTAGCCCTTAATATCGCTCAGTTCGCAGCTACACAATGTCCTCTTCGACCAATACCACTACGAAAATCTATATGCCTTCAAATTACAAGACAATATCCCCTGAATATGTCCTTTTAAGATCCGCACACGTACACATTACCCATACAGATATAAATAACTCCAAGATCATAACCTCACCATCAGAGCTAGTTGCGTAGCAAGCTGGTCGACCACCAGCGTCCATGGCGAGTCTTTTCACAAAAGTAATCAACGGGACAATCATTAGATAGGCTTTTAGGAGTTGGAACAGATAGCGGAGGCAATGTATTAGGTCTGTGGCCGGTTAAAGTGAAGTAACGCTGCGTAAACGCGGGCCCCTCTGATCCCCTCTTGTAAATCTGCATCAACGCACTATAGAAGCTCGAAATCTTTTGCAATAGACAGCGTAACAGTAGCCAGATTTTCAATTTTATTAGGTTTGAAAAAGGTATTAGCATCGCTGATCTTTACCCCTTATAAGCCTTCAAAAATAGCGCTCCTTCTTGCAAGTTCTCAGCTTTGCCCAACCCCCACCCCCCATTTCCTTTCACTATAAAACGGTAGACCAGGCGTCCTGGAATGTTCCCCGCCGGCTTTTCCGCCCATCGACATCCGCAAGCACTTTCAATATTGTTTACAGCACAGCCTAGCGCGTACCGATCGACGGCCACCCAGCCTTACTCTATGTATACCAATAATACCACCCACACCGAAAATCTTCCCTGCCAACCAACCCCCTTAAAATGTGTCAGAAGCGGTCCAGCCCGTCCGGCCCGCCCTCCTTTTACTCCTTATGAGATTCCCAAACCCTGTGCCTTACAGTATATACCCACCAGAGTGGATCATGCCAACCATTCAGGCTTCAGTAACACGCAGCCCCTGGACCCCCTCACCGTGCCTCACGAACACCTGAAGAGTCAAGAGCAAAGTGAAAAAACTTTTCACTTAGTATGCCTCAGAGTCTGTCCGCAAGGCAGATTAATATCGGTTATTGGAAAAGTAAATGGTAATGGTTGCAAGAAGCGAATATGAACGAAATGCAGGCTTCTAATTGGTCACCATGGTGGAGAACCAACAATACGTGGTTGCCTTTCTTTGCCTCGCCCGGAATAGGCTAGCTGGCACGAACACGTAGGTAAAAGTCGTAATTGGAAAGGGAAGGTGAGAAAAGGTGAGGAAATTTGAGGAAAGCAGGCTCACCGCAGTTTCAGCTTTAGGGGCTCAGGGGTAAGGTCACGGTGGAGGCCGTCACCTGTCTATCACTTGATGTGATTTTACCGCCGCCCCCTTGCCTACCATCTCCTACCTCAAAGGCAGAATTTTGGCAAAGACCCTCACCCCAAAACGAAACTTTCATACCCTAAGAGCACTGCTAGCACAGCTACGAGCACCCACCGGAAACCCGACCTCAGAACGGAGCTGCTTGACTCTATCGCATAGCGGCATAGCAGGAAATGTGCTGCCCTGATACACCCTCGTTTGTAGTGCCTAACCTCTCTTCAATACTCCGTAACCCTAAAAAAACTCCCTTTCAGATTTGCGAATAGCCCTTGTGTACAGTGTACTTGCGAAAAGACCAAACCCCCTCCAGTCCAGCTGCTACCACAAGCTGCAAGCACCACCTCATCACAAATTCGAATTTCGCTCATACATGAAATTGCAATGGCAGAAGAAGGATTCAAAATATCTCAAACATGAAAGGCAGACATCCACGGCAGCCGAACGGCAGTCCGTTTTCCAGCCAGAAACGAACGAGCTGATGGTGAACCACAGCAGCTCGCTCAGTAGTTTACGAAAAACAAACGGCGCACTAGCTACCAGGGCAATGTACAATCATAGGTAAGAGAATATCCTTATTTTCCCACTTAGGTGCTCTGAGCCTATGGACCCTCCAAAACGCTCACTTGACCTGGCTTCTGGAGCTTTGATGTCTACGTTACCAAATCCGCAGATGTGCAGCCTTCTCAAAAGCTAATCACTGATGGAAAGCACTTTAATTCATTCTTCTCTAGAACATATTCTCAGGACATGAACGATTGAAGAGAGGGGCCTCGAACCAAACGTATGTTCATCCCAAGACAAGCGACCACTCGAGAAAACAGACATTCCTCTACCAGACATGCGTCACTGTTCCATCCGGATAATACCCAGCTCTCGCACATCTGTCTAGAACATTCGGCGCTACTGCATTGAAACAATAGTTCTCCAACAACCCCTTACAAATCAAAAGAGTATCACTCGTCTTAGTCGCATCCCAACACTTGTGATACCACCCCTCACCAGGCTTATACCGGTATACAAAGTAGACCAAAGTCATGAGAGCAAGGAGTATCGCTAAAGGAATGAAGATCATCAGGGCGTAGCAGCAGACTTTGATCGATGAATGCTTGTCCTTTTTGTCTAAAGAAGCAATGACTTCTGGTGAGCTGTTGATGGTGACGACAAAAGAAGCGATGGTGGGGTCAATATTGGGTCTCGGTGTCTGAAATGTGTTGGGTGGGACATTTGGAGTGCCTGCTGGTGACTGTGCCTCGTTGTAATTTCTGTCTGGTCTGATACTGACCTTTTATAAGTAAGCGTCCGCCAACCCAAACAGCAATGAATTCTCGGGTGTCCAGAGGCACAGTAAATATACACCACTGGCATCACAACCATCACACGACGCCAACTATCACGACGCCATCCATCGCGACACGATATAATACACTGCAAAATAAACTCCTAGAGAAACCCCCGTACCAACTCCTGCACACAACAAAAAAACAATAATACAATAAAGTATGCAACATACATTCTGTAGTGTCTTGGTTCTTTTATTTCTTTTCCTGGCAGCAGGGCATGCTGCGTGAGCTGAATCTGAGAGGAGGGGGGATACACTCTGGATGGCAGTGTCATTTGATGGGAGCTGCCCTGTGCTGTTTGAGGCAACATCGGTGGAGACGTTCGGAAGACCGAGAGGAAGGGTAAGCTGTTTGTATTCCGGTGGTTCTATGTGCCGAGGGGAAGATGCGCCATCGAGAGCATACTGTGCCGGGGTTTGAGTCGACTCAACAGATGTACTAGGAAGGATAGCCGGTGCTTCTTGCAATTGCATTGAAGGAATGCTGAAACGTGGAAAAGTCCAGCGTAGGGGAGAGTCCTCAGATATTGGAGGATCTGAATGTACATCACTTGCAATCGATCGTATGTCAGAAACCTCTGCACTGTGACCCGGAACTGGTGGTTGGAGAACACAAGCTTCAGCATCCTCATTATCAGACGACAAATCATCTGCAAGCAGATGGCACACATCCAAACCATCACAGTATATACCTAGACCAATCGGAGTTATTCGCTCGAGCACTGGATTCGAACGATGCGGATGTTGGTCAATGCTTGGGTCAAGAAAACCAAAGGTATCGATTGGAGAAATCGAATGCGCATGTTCAGTGACGACGGTCCTAGGTTCTTGATTCAGGAATAATGAGGGGGCTTCCTCGACTTCATCGTCGAGATCCGTACCAGATGATCGTGTGAGGGCTCTGCGTGGAACGGCGATTTGATCTGTGGGTGGCAGAGCACTCTCGCAGTGGTCAATGGGTGAGTGATTATGGCGGCGTTGGAGGATACCGTGGCGTTTGGGCATTGCTCTCGATTGAGGGCCTTCGATTGGAAAGATGAGAGCAGAGACTGGGGTAATCAAACGTGAGTGGGAGGGTGTGGGCAAGAGAGTACTGATACAAAGATTGGATTAATCAAAAAAAGGGTGTGATGGATCGAAGAATGTTGATTGATGAAGTGATGTATTGTTAAACAGGAAAAGAGAATTGGCGAAGGGCCTTCGAGAAATATTATCGGTATTGTTACCTTCGCTCTTGCCAGGCGTGGACTACGTGCTGTCAAGCAGCGTTCTAATGTACAAGTCTCCACTTTCCATCGCCCCTTCCTTGTTCTCCCCATGCTTTTATAAAGTATACTCTTTCAAAATCAAGCCAGCTTTTGCTATGTACGTTGACGCATCCGCTTAATAGCAGGAACCACAGTTTCAGACCTACCTGAGCAAAACGCAGCACCTAGAAATGAAATATAATAACACAACAAGCAACACCTCTTCGGCATCAATGGCTTAATTCCACCTGGCGTTCTCCCTCTCAGCTTCAAGTCGAGCAAGTCGTGCTTCCTCGTCATCTCCAGTGACTATGTGGTCACCGCCTCGACGACCCTTCTTTCTCCCCTTTCGCCCATCCTCTCCCTCATCACGACTGTGCTTTCTGCCACCCATGCCTGCAGTGAGTCCAGCCATTCGCTGAGCCTCCTTCAACAGGCGCTCTCGGTTTCGCTTTTCTCTTTCCAGAGTATGAGGATCCTGAACCGGTGGTGCGGAGGAAACTTGGGGTTTCTCGCTCTGGTTTTCCTTGCCGCGTTCTCGCTCACGATCCCTGTCCCTACCAGAGTCGCGACGGGATGAGTGATGGGGAGCTTCCTCGTTATGACGATGGCGGGCGCTGCTAGGTCTTTCTCTCTCGCGGTCACGAGCTGCGGAGGAGATGCGGTCTTGGCGTGGGCCTGTTGGAATGCGGATATCTTCGGATATGGAGATACTCTTGTTGCGAGAACTAGCACCTTTAATTTCAATTCCACCAAAGCCGTTGGACATGGCTGAAGGCCTGCGTGGTGCCGTTTCCGGTTCGACGGGAGTCTTGACCACTCCTGTCTCTTGCTTATCTATCTTTTCGGTCTCAACTTTCAGTTCTTCGGACCCTCGACGGCTGTGGCGGTGTCGATGTTCACGGTCCCGATCTCGATCACGGCTTCGAGATCTATCATCACGATGCGACCTATGGCTAGAGCGATGCTTATGTGAAGATGACTTGTGGTCTCTGTCACTACCCTTCTCCCTCTCCCGATATTTGTCCCTATCTCGGCGACTTCGATGGCTCGCACGTTTAGATTCAGACGGGGAAGCAGATCTGGATCTATTCTCTTCGATGCGTGCTGTCTTAGTATCATCGACCACTTCATCAACTTCATCACCACGACCTCCTTCCTCTTCACGACGACGTCGTTCCCGCCGGCGTTCTCTTCTCCGTTCGCTATCCCTCTCATCTTCGGAGCGGGAAGCTGATCGGTGTCTGTGTCGGCGATGATGTTTCTCTCTGCTTCTGCTTCGTCTCTTTTCGAGCGACGCCGACCTGTCCCTGTCTTTTGAAGGTGATCTTGTTCTCTCCCGATCTCTACTTTCCTTTTCTGATTGCTCGGGCGGTACACTTGTACGCTCAACAGTGTTTGGCCTTGAGCTAGCACGACCTGCTATTGAGAAACCTCGTCCTCTGATGCTAGAGTTAGATGCCGCACGCATTGCTTTGGGACCAGTTGGAGCATTTATCGGTACATCAACAGGCTTCACATTCGGGGGCTGCATGGCGCCAAAATTGCCTCCACGGGAATGGTTTTGCGCAAAGCCGCCTCGAGCAGCACCATAGGAATTTACTGAGTTAAATCCAGAATTGTACTCTTGAGCGTAGGAAGCATCATTGTCTTCCAGTGTCTGAATAGCCATGCCTTTATCACCAAGGTCCAGGACAGTGGCAGCTTCTTCTGTAAAGTCTGATGGACCCTCAATTAAAATTGCATTCTCCGTGCCTTTGTCGCCATTTTGTCCATCGGTGTTACTATCGTTCTTGGGAGTTGACTCCTCAGCACCTTCAGACTTTGGGCGAATTTCTCTACCAAACTCATCGGTATTACCAGCAGGAGCGGGAGTGGCATCTGCCTTCGGTCCTGTAGGAATGGATCCTGTTTCACTAATAGGTCCATTTCTTTGCTGGCCTGATCCAAACTGCTGGGGATACTGCTGTGAGAAGGCTTCGTTTGAACCATACCCATAGCCACCCCGGCTATAACCGCCCCGTCCTCTACCTCGACCTCGGTAACCTTGGGAGTAGTCATTGTGATGGTTTCCTCGGCCATAATTACTTTGGTTATATCCTGCAGAGTGAGAGGAGTACCCAGAGTTGTTAGATCCATAATCACCGTGACCCATGGCTGCTGCGTTTGGATGATTGAAATTATCTGTTCCAACATTCCAATTTTGTTGTCCGTTCCATCCGTTATTGAAACCTGTGCCCATCCCTCCGTCGAAACCTGCCATTCCCATCCCCATGTTCATGCCTTGCATACCCATGCCATTTGCGCCAAAGCCACCACCGTTCATCATCGCATTCTGCATCGACATTGGGTCCATGCCCATTCCAGGCATACCTTTAGGCTGTTAGTTTAATTTCGTTATTAAACTGTCATAGACTAAACATACCCATCATTGGAAAGTTTCCGAAACCACCTGCTCCCATGCCGTTCTGCATGGCCATCATCTGCATCATCTGGGTCATATCGCCGCCAAATCTCATGCCTGGAAACCCACCAGCAACAGAAGGGTCGAAGCCCATTCCCGCGCCAAATGCAGGAGTCTGCGAAACGCCTTCGCCGTCCTTGGCATCGTTTTCGCCCTTCTCCTCTGTCGTGTCCACGTCACCGTCTTCCATCGATTCCTGGCCAGGCGCAATCTCCTTTATAGATATTAGCTAATGGCTCATAAAAGGGCACAATCATATCCTTACCTCTATGGACTGGTGCGGAATATCTTGCTGAGCCGCTGGATCTTCATCGGCAGGCTTCGCTGGAGCTTGTTCTATCTGTTCTGCCGGTGTGGCTTCTTTGTCTTGGACTTCAGCGGGAGGCGCATCTTTAATAATCTCCGCTGGGGTTGGATCAACCAGCGCAGGCGTCTCGACTACTAGTGGTGTAGCTGGAGGTGAAGCTTTTGCCTCCTTCAATCTCGCCGCCTCGCGCTTCTTCTCCTCGGTCCTCAAGAAGACCTTGATAGTTGTCCGTAGCGACTTATTCGGCTTGCAGTCTTCCGCCGAGACAGGCGTGTGTTCGCAAACGGGACATGATGATGGTAGGGTAGACTGGCCTGCATCTGGTATTAGCAATTGCAAGCTCGATGCAGTCTGCCGTGGATACTTACAAGTCTCGCAGATCGCCTGCTCGCAGCATGGCAGGCGGAACGCGTTCACAGCCAGCCTGCTGCAGATGGCGCATCGGAGCTTGATGGGAATCTCATCTTGGGTTAGTGAGCTGTGATTTGGTTAGCAGAGGCTCTCTGCAGCACATTACTTGGGGGGTTGACGGACTCGATGAGTTCAGCCAGCGCTGCGGTTGTGGTGGAAGCTGACATGGTTGCGCCAGCTCCTTCAATGATGGGAAAGGGTTGTTGACGATGGTCGCATGCTTGTGTGCAATTTTAAAAGAAGAATAAGAAGATGTGCTGAGTCGAGTCGCGACTTGGGGAAGTCATGTAAGAGGGGTCATGATCATGATTCGTGATAAATCTGTTTGTCTTTGAAATCCAATCTACTTTTTTTTTTTCGAGGAGGTTGACTTGGATTGTCGCGATAAGTAAGATATCACACTAGCGCCATGCAGACATAGAGGCACGTGATCCCAGATAGAAATCTTCTTCCTCGTCCTCAGGAATTTCAAATATTAGAAGGGTTGTCTGGTCGACTTGTAAATCTTGGACGGCAGGTATTGAATGTTAGAAAAATTACGAAAAAAATTGATGGAAGTGCATTATGTTCTGGTTCTAACCCCTTTTGCTTGAACTATCCAAACCTCGCTAAGACAGACCACGCAACGACATGTCATCACCATCTATCAATCTGTCTTCTCTAAACTCTTTGCAGATGATCTAGTCAATTGGATAAGCATTCCCTAGGCGGAGTGCAATTATACATAACCATGATATTGGGGCAGATCTCCTGGCTGGATTGCTTCGTTTTCCTCATCTTTTTAGCACCGCAATTGATTCTTTGGGTTGGGTTCATCCCTACACTCTTTTGCGGGTTACGGGCCCTGCCATTTCTATGTATGTTCTCCCATTTTATTGCCAAACTTCTTCTATTCATGACAAAACTTTTGTGCGAATTACATGATCAAGACTGTCTCTTATGATACTTATAAATTCTGTCTTGCTCACCTCCTTTTGCTGATTTTTCATAGTAATAAAATTACCCCTAAGTTTCCTCTATGAACGCTTTTTCCTTGCCCGCCACCATCAAACTCCGTTCGTTCAAAAAGCATTGTGGTTCGAAGATATAGTCATCCGATGCGTTCGCTATGCATTCGCATATATCCCTGCCAGTATCGGCCGGGTATTCCTTTCGAAACCCGTAGCACTGCCCTTCTTGCGATTCCGGATGCTTCGACACGGTTATATACGTTCGCCTATACATTGGCATGAAGTAAAAGAAGTAAGTCTCTAAGCACCCGGCCCTCACACTCTGTTCAAATCACTGAAACCCCACAGAAAAACTTTACCGGTCTCTGGATAATAAAAGACCCCACCAATAAACCCGACATCACAATCTACTACTTACACGGCAAGCTCCTCCCCCTTTTCCTTCGCCCTCCATTTCCCCTCCCTCCACACCACATAAACCCCCCTCACCATCTAACAAGCCTCCAAACACAGGCGGAGGTTTCTCAATGGGCTCCTCCTACTTCTACCTAGAATTTCTCCTCTCCCTTCTCACCCTCCTCTCCTCCACCTCCACCTTCACCAACCCCGCCATCCTAGCCCTAGAATACACGCTCGTGCCCGATGCCGCCTACCCAGTGCAACTCGAGCAGGCAATGGCGGGGTACCGTTACGTGCTGGGCGTGATGCAGGGGCGCGCGGAGCGGGTCTGTGTAGCGGGAGATTCGGCCGGTGGGACGGTTGTGTTGAGCTTGCTGTTGCGGTTAGCAGAACTCGGTAAGAATGGAAATGTGAATGGGAATATGAACGGGAGTGGGGACAGTGGAAGCGAGCTGGATTTGAGACCTGGAATGGCAGTTCTGATCTCGCCTGTAAGGATACCTAGCTCTTTGATTTCACTCTACCCCTTTATTACATTTCGTCTCACGTGCTCTACCCCGTCTTCCAGATTTGCTCTACCCCCTTCTACCCCCGAACCTCTCTTAAACAGCAACCAACTAACCGTCTCCTAGTGGATAACCCTCCACTCCCCCACCCTCCACAACATGCCCTCCGACTACCTTGATATCTCCCGTCTCCATCTCTACGCCCTCCAATACGCCGGCCCTTCCACGCCTCTCTCCTCCCCATCCATCTCCCCCGGAAAATGCACCGATATCCGCAAGTGGCGCGCCGCGTGTCCGTGCGCGGGTTTCTTTGTAATGTATGGATCGGAAGAGGTCTTCGCGCCGGATATTAGCAAGTGGGTGCAGTTGTTGGAGGGGGGAGGAGTGGATGTTAGGGCTGTGGTAGAGGAAGGTGGGATTCATGCGTGGCCTGTTGTGGAGCTATTTTTGGCGCGCGGGGAGGAGATGAGGGTCAGGGGGGTGAAGGGGATAGTTGGACAGATAAGGGAGAGGATGGGAAGGAAGGAGGAGTGGGTGGAGAAGTCTGTGATTGATTGAGTTCAGGAAACCAAGTCTGGGATGTGAAATTATGAATGGGGGTAAGAATATGTTGGGAGATATGTTCTTGTTTCCGGTTTTTGGTTCTGGTGAAATATGTCCCCGTATAGTATATGCATCTCGAGGATACTTTGAGCAATAGAAGCAGGAACATTCCAGCACGTTCATCATATCCAGCCTACTTAATCCACAATCTGCATTTAGATGTATCTGTTATAAAGCTGCAGCAATCCGAATAATAACTCGATGAAGTAGGCACCGGTACTTATAAGTCTTTTCCTTATAAATTTAAAATATCCCATATCCAAACCACTTATCGCCTACACCCTATACTGAATTGCCAGAGCTGCTCATGCTCATGAACTAATCACGGGAGACTGAGAATATCCACCCGCCCCTAGCATTCGATATATCGTGTGGCGAGGCAATGAATGGTCAAAAGCGTGACGGAGGGATTGGCTCTTCCGTACCCAAGAAGTGTATAACTGGTTGCGTGATCCTTGAGAATAGGACAGCTGGAGATTCGCTACATAGAAGGATTCATAGGGATCGCAATTTAGCTGGAAAGAGGTAGATAGATCAACGATATATATATTTTTTTCTATCCTTTTATCCGTAAAAATGTCTCGCGGTTAAGAGAAAGACAACCAGGCATAAGGCGCAACGCATAACGCCACCGCATTAACCTTATTCTTGACCCTAACTCCAAAACTTCGCCTTCGCTCACAAACCATAAGAGAAAGCCTCGCTTTTAAATAATCAAAATCAAAATCGCAATTTTCACAACTTTGATCTCACCACACCCTCACCCAAAAACTTCTTAATGTAATCCTCCCACCCTTCTCTCAACACGCCCCCATTCTCCCGAGCATGCACATTAATAGGCAAGTCCCTCGTCCACATCATAATCCTGCGGTAAACATCACCATCCCTACACCCGAGCACACTACTCAAACTCGCGTCCGAGAAATTCCACGCGTCTGTAAGCGCAATCGCATCGGGCAGCAGCTGCTCGAGCAATGTGTTGGTTAGGGAGCGCATAGTGGAGAGTTGGGTGCTTGTGAGGAAGGAGGTGAACGAGGAGGAGGTGGGGACGAGTGGCGAGGACGCTGTGTGCAGGTGCGAGAGCAGTAGGAGGTTCGTGAGGACGGGCTGCAGCGCGGCCGGGGAGGCAGACACGCGCGCGATAAAGGCGCGTAGGATATACAGCTCAATGTGCGCGCGCGCCGCGACGTGCAGCGCAACCGCATGGGTATTCTCTGCTCGCACTGCCGAGCCCTCTTCAGCACACAGCAACTCGTACGCCTCGTTCACTAGTATAGCAGCGCGGTGTTCGAATACCTGCACCAGGACGGAGGGTTTCAGGAACGCGTCTCCTGCGTAGGAAGCGAGAAGAGTGGCTGTGGAGCTGCATATGTACGCCATGTCTGGCGGGAGAGCGGGGGCTGCTATGCCTTTCATGAGGTATCTCGAGACCTGTTTCCACAAAACCGTATTCTCGCCCTCGAAAGTACAGCACCCCGTACTACTTGCCACGATTTCAGGAAGGCCAGACATGGTAAGGTATCCCTGGCCACCGCACAACTTCCGTGCGTCTTCCGCGCCGTCGGCTGCCGTTTGCGTGCACCACGCCTTCAGGCCCGCCATGATCATGTGGACGTATGGCAGAGAAGCATGGTCGCCGCGGGCCTGTGCTTCCAGGAGCTTCTGGTAGGTAACGTTGGCGGCCATGGAGGCGAAGAGGATGGCGTAGGCTTTGGAGATTAGGGTTAGGAGGCGGTAGTGCTGAAGCTTGTATGACATGATGGCTGGCTCATCGGGAATGCTTCTTTGGCCTTGGAGGCGGACGGCTGAGTACCGGGTGGAGATGGTGAGGGCTTGGGCGAGTTGGAAGGCGCTGTTGCGGATTATGGTGGAGCGGGCGCCGACCATGCCGCCATATAAGAGCTTCTCGCGGAGAGGGTCGGCGAGGTACGCGCCATCTTTGCTGACGGTGTTGTAGCGGCTGAGAAGGTTGGTGCGTGGGATGCGAACGTGGTGGAAGATAGCATAACCATTATCTGTTCCGTTGTATGACATTTTCAATCTGCACGCAGTCAATACTAGTCTGTTAATGACTGTGGGGGCAAATTCACCCCATATCTCCCAGTTCAATATCAGGCAGTGGCTTGAAGTCTTCCAAAGAGCGAATTTGCATAACGAAGGAGTGTGTTCCATATTCCTTGCCATCAATGATCATTTGAGCAATAACAATAGTGTGAGTAGATGCAAAGCCCAGCGCTCCTGGCCAGTACTTGACTGCCGAAAGATTTGGGGTATGGATGACAAACTCATCAGTCACTTTATCCAAAGTAGCCGTCGTTTGAAGGCCAGCAACGAAACTTCCATGACCCAACTCGGTTTGCGCATACGAGCCAATAATCTTTCCCGACTCAGCAAGAGGTAGCCAATACGCAAGTTGCTCAGGGTTGCATTGAAGCTTCAACATAGGGATAAATAGGAGGCCGGTCAAACCAAAAGGATTAGCGTTTGATAAAGCCCACTCATGGTTGGATTGGTGGAAGATCTTATGGCCATAATCCATTCCATCGTTGACGGTCACTCTGGCAGCTCGCAAGCCTTCAAGTAGCATATCTTCACGGTCCATATTGCCATAACGTGGTGGGAGCTTCCACAGGTCATCAGTCCCAAGGGCCTTTTCAATACGCGCGAAGGCATTATTCTGGCGGGTTACGGCTTCTTTTCTAAATAACGTTGTATTAGCAATATGAAGGCCAGTCAGAGGAACAGATGACTTGCCCGCCCAATATGATCTCGGTGAGTAGGCTCGAGTCAAATGTTGCTTGGTTCCTGGACCGCTCCATTAACATCGGCTGGGTGGGAGTTGGAGTTGATACGGAGGCAGATGTGCTTTGTGGATCGCTGCTCTGGGCAGTCTTGTTTTGAATATGGCTACGTGGCACATACGTCAACCGTATGGTGGACTTGTCTCGCGCCATGGCTGATTAATAGGTAAACAAATGTTGACTTGAAGATAATACTTCAAAAGTGGCCGGTGTATCAGCTACGGGCTGTTTGGGCAAGAGCAGAACGTATGTCTTCGAAATAGTAGGAAGCAATACGTTTAAGAGGATGAAGTTGGTTATTTTGAGATGAAGGGTTGAGAGCTTTTATAGTCCGTCCAACACCACATAAATTAGATGTGATTCCAAAACCCCCTAAATATCCATGTGAATGCGTCTAAAGGTCAACCACATGGATCATTGTTGTTTAGGGGAAGTTCTGCGTGGGTTGCTCCACCAGCTGTGATATTCACTTGATGCCGCAGAAGATCAGAATATTATAGCGGGCCTTACTATGACGGCCCGCCAAGGAGCGCATCCTTCTTAATCTCGCGGGACTGCCTCGTAGTACCCTATACGCCCCATCTTTGATCCTATTCACGTAACACATAAAATAATTCTCTCCTGGGATGTTGCAAAGGCAATGAATGACATGCAAGATATCAATACCAACAGCCCTATTCATTGGTCCCAGAACAAGCCGCTGAAATAGAAGAACACATTTGAGCATGGAATATGTATGTAAGCAATGTGAATAGTCATCGCCACACCAGGATTATGGCTTTAAAAGATGTGCTATTGTTGGGAGGCGTATATCTGATACCCTTGCATGAAATGAAAGAAGACCGATGTATTCTGATTTCCCGCTCGACTTTGAAAGGGATGAAACTTCTCACATAAGGTTGTTTCAGCCCAACCAATAGGAGTATAGCTCTCGTCACAATCAGAACTATGAGCACTTGATCTAGGGCTGTCCCCACTGCTCGGGAATGACAAGTGTACGCCTGTAGGGAATCTATCAACCGAACCGGGTCATATTTGGTCCGTGCGCCGGGAACTCCAACTTCGAGTTTGCTCCTTGTCGGGCTCGCCTCGTCTGGGTAGTAACAAGAGTCAAGATTGGACAAGGGACAGCTTGCACCATGAATGAGATCGAACGAGTACGTTACACAACGCAGACGATCGATATTGATGAGGCGCAGTGCATGAAATTCGTCCGTATCGAAATCTGACGACAGACGTCTTCTCCAATAGAAGGCTTGACTTCAGATGATGCATGCAGTAACAATTGTTGTATACCTCCGTATAAGTCAGAAGTTAAGAGATAGTTCTGCAGATCTCTCACTCCCTATCCATCACATCAGGTATCTCGCATAAAGCAACCTCTTGATCCATACAACAAAGCCTTGTAACTCCCTCGATGCAAAGGCATTTAACCCTTTGCCAAAAAGAAGCCCTGCGAAAAAGGCTTCCGGCGATTATCGCCCTTTGTACTCGTACGACCTTGCAGCCAGGCTTCCTTCTTGGAGCGAGAACGAGCAGAAGCCTTTGGTGCGAGCATCAAGGTGCTGGACTTGGTCACTCTGTAGGTGGTGGTTCCAACTCGGCGGTCCTTTGGTGTCTTAGACACTGGAACCTCGTCGAAGAACTTCATTTTCTTTGGCTTTATTTGGGGCTTCGTTTCGTCGGGGTCGGTGGTCGAGATGACATCTTCGTCTTGCAAGAACTCGGCGGGGAGGAGGTCTGGGATGGTGGGTTTGTGTAGTGACGAAGGGACCATTGTATCCGTAGTCTGGCTCTCGTTGTTGTCACTTGAGATTTGTATACTGTTGGTTTGAACGAGTTCTGGTAGAGTGCTTGGAGGTTGTGGCGCCGAGACAGTCTCCGTAATGATTTCCACTTCAACGTCTTGCTCCTCACCCGGTTGATTGACCGTTTTGGTATATGACAAGCTCTCTTCTTCCACGACACTGAGATCGGGGTACAGGGCAACTTTCGAGCTGTCCTTTTCCTCAACGACAACTGCGAGAGGTTGAACCGCCGCTTCTGATACATTGGGGTCCCCCATCCGCGTTCTGACCGGCAAAGGGTCCAAGATCTTCCGAGACTCGTCTACACCTTCCACTTCCACATACTCTACCACAGGAGGAATTATGGCAGGTATTTCTACAACGGGCCTTGTGGTTGAGAGCGCGTCGCCTCCAAATGCGCGTGGTGTATTCCTTTTCCCAACTCTGGGTTTCTTCGATGTAAGCGGGGTGTAGAATTCCTGTTCCTCTTCGCTGTCTTGAACCCTCGAGAGGCTACCTAGCTTGCGTTTCGGTGTTTGTGGGACATAGACATTGATGCTTTCCTCTTCGTCCACTTCTTGGTTGGCAGGCTTGGTGCCTCGTCGGCGTGCTAAAGTCATTACAATAAATTAGCAATCGAATCATTGTTGTTCTCCCATATCCAGTAAAGAAGAAAAATAAAGAAAGCGGCTGGCCTCCCCCTCCCCAAATACCGATCCGGGGTCACACCGAGCTGTACCAGAGGGGACCTACTCTTCTCTTCTTCAACCTGCTGCGCCTGGGGCGATTGTTCTTGGTCTTCTTCGCTTGGTGTATCACTGAACATGCGCGTTTTCGCAGACTTGAAGATTCTTGACAACATCAGGAAGGAGCAAAATCTTGTATTTATGCGGGTCGGCGAGAATATGCATGTCGTCGGGGTAGATCCGAGAATTTTCCATAGTGACAGTACTCTACACGCTACAGTAAGCGGCAGAATATTTCGACGCTTCACCGCCTTCACTGACCTAAGCCTAAGGTACCTCACCTCACTCCTAAGCAAGAAAAAAGAGTCCGACTTATAATTGGCTAGGATTAGATTGAACTTGCAAAAACACCCATTCAAACGTCCTCCGCTTTCTAATATAATTTATTTCATCTACAAGCATTCAGCAGCTACTCATCAACATCTTCTTCAATCTACACAACCTCGAATTCTTCATCTGCAAGGCACCGCGACACGACAGACAGACAGGTACGAAGATTAGCTTGTCGATACGCGGCAATGACTTCTTTGAGGAGGTCAATACCCTTACTTGCGAGATGTCACAAGTCGTTAAGCTTCAGATCCTTTCATGCATCCCAAAACCTCGCCGCCGCCGCCAAACCTAAACCTTCTCCCAGAATATCAAAAGCCACAACTAGAACACGTGTCCAAAATGTCCAAAATACCGAAAAGAATTACATGTCAAAGGACGCCCTCCCACCACTCGCCATCCTTCAATCAGCAGCCACAGCCGGCGTCATGGATCTAGAGCCAGCGAAAGCCTTCCAGTTCCTAGCCGAATATGTGAACTCATATGTGGAACGGGGTGGGCCTTCAACCGGCAAGGGATGGGAGCAAGAACTGTGTAAAGGTTAGTAGTCACCTGCTCGTGTCATTTCATTTAACTTATTGCATACCTCTAGTACATGGTGTGACGCTGCCGCACATGGTGACCCTATCCAGCGTTCTCAGAAGGTGTCCCAGCCGTGCTCAACAATCACTGGGCTCGACGCTAGTACTCGCTGCATCCCAGATGGGCGAGAAGACGGCAACATTTGAGCTGGTCCAGTCTAGCATCAACAAGAAACAGGTTTTCGAGAAGTCAGCTCATATACAGCACTTACGCTTACTAGCCCAGAAAGGGGATGATGCCGAGGCGATGGCGCTACTGGGCAAGGTGGTGTTCGCGCAGGGGAAAGAAGACGAAGCTCTGGGATGGCTGCGCAAAGCAACGCGGCCGCCAGTTGGGAACTTGGAATTCCCTGGGTCTGGCGACGCGCTTGTGTGTGAAGGTCGGATTCATTTGAAGAAGGGTGATAAGAAAGGAGCGGAAGAGGTGTTCAAGAAAGCAGCCCTGCAATTGGATGAGCCGACAGCCTATTTCTATCTTTCGCAACTCCAGGAACCGAGCTCGTGGAAACAGGAGGTTTATTTACTGAAGGCTGCTTCGTCGGGGATTCTAGAGGCGATGCATAGTCTTAGTGCGCTGGAGCTTGAGAAGATTGAGAAGCAGGAGAAGAAACCGACCTCTTTGGCTGATTATGGGATGACGAGAGAATGGTCTCAAGTTGCTGCTGCCGATGGATTTGGGTTGAGCATGATGAATATGGCACTGATGTGCAAAGCTGTTGGACAAGATGAAGTTGGTATGGAATGGCTCGAGAAGGCGGAACAGAACCCGGACGTTCGTGAGCAGGCGAAGAAGCTAAGAAGGGAGTGGGCGGAACAACCAAGCCAACTCACTTGATTGTGTTATATTACATGTTTGTTTGTCACACCCGGCGAAACAGCAAAAGAAGTGAGTTGATGACTCCATACAGCTACTTTTAAGTTCTCGGAGTTAGCCGAATTGTATTAAAGATGATCTTACATATGGGAAACTACTGTAAAATATAGGAAAGCATATAGCTCAGGACTATGCCTCCTTTTCAGGGGCCGAATTCAATGTACATTTTATACCGAATTATGTTTTTAGTTTAGGCTCGAGACTATATATAAAGAACCTACCCCGCCTGCTGTCACAGAATCCCTTCACAGTCACATCAAGTGAAATATTTACTTAATTAGTCTCATCATCACATGGAGCCTCGAGAAATTCCTCGCGCACAACGTAAGACCAGCAACAAAGGAAATTAAGGGCCAGAATGCACTGTAACCCTTAAGTGGAACCCCTATGTCATATAAACAGGGCAAGATTAGGCATATTAATTACTTGCTCCCAAGGCCACAGCATTGACACTTCCTTGCTCGAGATGCGTATTTATTACACAACCCAAGTGTGGAATTTGGAAGAAGCAGATCATAACAAAAAGAAATTGAAGACACAGATATTCCCGGTTCTAGTAGTAGTCTCGATGAGGATCCAATCCCGATCTTAGGGTAGCTGCCTAGGCTAACAATGAGCTTTCTCCTGTTGTAGGTGCGCTAGATTGAATCACTCCGCTGGGCAAGGTAGTTAAACATGCTGTCAAGTTTATCACTGCTGTCAACCTCTATGTTCAGTCGTCAATGTTTACTTGTGGGAAGAAATATATGTGCGAATAGTAACTATCGATTATCTCCATGGCACACACTCAATATACTTCGACGAGTAATTTCCGGCTATGCGTCTAAATAGTATCTTAACTTTGTCAATTTTTTTTGGCTATATCGTAATTCGATGTTTACCTTCAGCTTCAAGGTTTCAAGCTGTTTAAATAAGCTTATAGTCTATGACTGAATATGTGAGACTGGAGAAAGCCGGATGAAGTGAGGCCAAGTTAAAATGGATTATGGAGGAATATAGGTAGATATGATATGTGAAACCATAAGCAGGCATGCAGGAGGTTATCACAGGAATCCAAAAAGCACACATATAAGGCTTATCGCATCATTTTGGGCGGGATTTGGCGGGATTGAAGATGAAAACTAAGCATAAAATTATAGCCATACAAAGCACAAAACTCATCTCACATTACTTGCCTAGCTATACATATGGTAGTACACATTAGTGCAACCTCATTCTGACCTCCCCTCGTTGCCTAGCATTCTTGCCATGCTGCGACTCTATCACGTGAAATCTAAATGGCGATTAACGTTCGAATAGGGACGTCACAGAGATGATGAGATAAAAGCTTGACGCTAGCATAACAGGTAATATTCATATAGTGTTTTGTGTAGAGTGAGGTGAAGAGTTTTATTGTTCATCACGCTTATGTAAGCAGC